AACGTCCACCTTAAAAATCAGAATTCCTGATCGTGCCTACAGGCATGAATTATTTTGGCTGATGGGCATATATTGTATGAGGGGAGACTCTTTGAATACAGTTAATCGCGACAAGCAACGGCCAATGCTGTCCCATTAGCAGAGAGATTACTTCTACATTCAGAATTGTTCCAAGTAAAATATACTAGTGGTTTAAAGACTTCATTCATGAATTTCGTGACTAATTATGCGTTCAGTCCCTGGGTTGTGCAGTTAGACTTGGACTCAGTGTTAACAGGGCGCTTAATCTATATAATACTAAAAGGCTGCGATTGCTTGTGTGGTGCGTCCATCTGGTGCATAATGATTTAAGTTAATCTCATTTAAGTGAATAAGATTAAAAAATACGAGTTGTTCATACAGTAAACATTTTTATTTTAACTTTCTTCAAACAGACATTTTTTTTTAATTAAAATATTTTAAAGTTAAAGACAGGTGAAAAGAGATCACGATTTGCCGTTTCATCGAATTTTTTGTAGAGTAATTATTTATATTTCAGCTTTCTTCAAACAAATTATATTTCAAATATTTAAAAAAATATTTTTGGCCGATTTAAAAAATATTTCCAGGTGAATATGATTTAAAAAATTTTTTTCTGGCACATTAAAAAATATTTCTATGTTAATCGGAATAAAAAATATTTTAAGTGAATAAGATTTAAAATACGAGTTTTTTATGCACTAATATAACGATTACTTTTAGTTTTTGCACAAGTGTTCGCATATGCCATAAATAAATGCTGTTACTAGAGTTCAAATTTATACCGGAAGTTCTATTCTTATTAAATGCTGTAAACAATCAGTAAAACGTTAAACATGAACTTGTAAACCGGATCAATGGTGACACGAACGAAATGAAACATTTAAATGCATCATAATAAAAGTAACTTTCATTTCAATAGAATGTTGAATTCATCTTCAATATTTTATAACCTGAACCGCCATTGATCCAACGGCTCACGGGTTGTTTAGTACTAAATAAAAACAAAGCAAGACTGCAGAGCGAGGAGCACCGTATACTAAATAATGGTTTCCCTGAAGGTTACTCGGATTAACAAGGACATAACGGAGGCTTTAGATCGGCCGCAAAGTTATGATAATAACACAAATGAGCAAGATTATGTAAAAGCTTTTGATAAAGTACGCCACAATGAACAGATTTGCTTGAACAATGAGCTTGATTTATTTGGAAAGGTTATTAGAATTATCCATAACTTATATTGATAGCATACCACCTTCAAACGGATAGAAAATTAATTCAGTAAAATACACAATAGGTCTAAAACAAGGATTATGTCGTGACACTGGATTTATTCAATCTTAACATTGAAGTAATCCCGAGAGAATTAAATTTTTTTACAGTATTTATTATTGGTGATCACAATCTTAACAACTTAAAATATGCAGAGGGGGCGGTTTGATAGCAGATACAGAAAGGAAACTGCATGAACTCCAAGATAAGCTCGTAAATAAAAGCGAGAAGAAAGGACTAAACACTTTAAAAAAAATATATGTTTTTCAGCAAAAGGAACAGCCCGACATGCGAAATAAATATTGGAGAGATAAATAATGAAGGAAGCTTTTCACGACTGAACCAAGAGTAAAAAGAAAAGAAAAAAAACAAAACGTTATGTCTCGAAGCGCTTTTCCTCCAAATTTGAAAAAAAAATTCTTCAATTATTTTCTTGTGTTCTTATAAGTGTTTCCTTTCTGGACATAAAGTGTGTCAAAATTGTCGGAATGTTTTGTATGTCCGTGAGCTTTCGGTTATTCTTTTAACAGTTATCAAGGATAAAAATGTATTTTTATTTTCAACTGAATGCTTAGATTCAAGCCAGTATCTAGAGCTATGGATATGTCTTTTTTTTTCTGTCGATATTTCTGAGATGAGGTATTATGTACCCTATTTACATTATTCGGACTATTGTCCTCATCTTTGTCGCCATATTTATTACAACGTTTCGGCCTTTCAGTATCTGTCTATATTTCTGAGATGAGGTATTATGTACGCTATTTACATTATTCGGAATAATGTCCTTATCTTTGTCGCCATATTTATTACAACGTTTCGGCCTTTCAGTATATGTCTATATTTCTTAGATGATGTATTATGTACCCTATTTACATTATTCGGACTATTGTCCTCATCTTTGTCGCCATATTTATTACAACGTTTCGGCCTTTCGGTATCTGTCTATATTTCTGAGATGAAGTATTATGTACCCTATTTACATTATTCGGACTAATGTCCTCATCTTTGTCGCCATATTTATTACAACGTTTCGGCCTTTCAGTATATGTCTATATTTCTGATATGACGTATTATGTACCCTATTTACATTATTCGGACTATTGTCTTCATCTTTGTCGCCATATTTATTACAACGTTTCGGCCTTTCAGTATCTGTCTATATTTCTGAGATGACGTATTATGTACCCTATTTACATTATTCGGACTAATGTCCTCGTCTTTTTCGCCATATTTATTACAACGTTTCGGCCTTTCAGTATCTGTCTATATTTCTGAGATGACGTATTATGTACCCTATTTACATTATTCGGACTAATGTCCTCATCTTTGTCGCCATATTTATTACAACGTTTCGGCCTTTCAGTATATGTCTATATTTCTGATATGACGTATTATGTACGCTATTTACATTATTCGGACTATTGTCCTCATCTTTGTTGCCATATTTATTACAACGTTTCGGCCTTTCAGTATCTGTCTATATTTCTGAGATGACGTATTATGTACGCTATTTACATTATTCGGACTAATTTACTCATCTTTGTCGCCATATTTATTACAACGTTTCGGCTGTTGTACGCTCCGACCTTCTTCAAGTTGTTGGAATATCGAACTGAACCCTTTATTTCGCTCACTGGGGTAGACTGTTCTAGTTTCACGTGCCATGTTTAATGAATGTCAGTTATCTCCTGTTAATTCCCCTCTTCAAATTCTCCACTGCCTTACTCGCCTATTGAACTCACACCCTTTGTGTCCTGTCACTGGATCTAACCAACGCCTTTATCCACTGTGCCATGTGTTCTTGGAACATGGAGAGGGGAATTAACAGGAGATAACTGATAACTGACATCCATTAAACATGGCACGTGGAACTAGAACAGTCTACCCCAGTGAGCGAAATAAAGGCTTCAGTTCGAGATTCCAACCACTTGAAGAAGGCCGGAGCGTAAAACGGCCGAAATGTTGTAATAAATATGGTGACAAAGATAAGGGCAATAGTCCGAATAATGTAAATAATTTCTTTTATTTTTATTTTCTAAAATACGTATTTCCTTCTAAGGTAACCAATAGCAACACTGAATATATAGATAAAAATAATAACATTTACATTTTCTATAACAATGAAATACACAAGCAGGACGATTTTTTATTTTTTATTTTTTTTTGAGAAACATTATAAAGAAATACAGAACTCCGGTCGAACAGAACAAGAAAATTAGATTATCTACGATAAAAAATGAAAACAAATAACCTTATTTCCAGCAACAACTCACCTGCAATATCCAAATTACAGAGAACCAAAATCATTTCTGAATTCTCATGACCCTTAAGGAACTCTGTTTCTTATCAAACTAAATTCAGGAATAATTCTGTTGCTCATAACACTATATGCCTAACAAGAAGACTTACGCTACATCTCCCTGACCAGAGCAAAATTAGGACACATTTAAACACACAGGGAAATCTCCCAAACTCCATCCGCTATATTCTAGTAGGAAATACAAGTATAATAACTTCATTCACATGTAAAAATTGATAAATGGAAGTATTGATAATTAAAAAGATAAAACCAACACTCAGTAACATTAACTCGGTCACAATATGCTGACCGTCTTTGGAAAATACAAAAGACATTCTCATAACTTTAGATACATATAATATCTACACATTCAGTTAAAAACTCCTTGATAAAGGCTAAAAGAATAGCTGAAGGTGTTCGGACATAGGAAACATTCGGACATACGAAGCATTCGGACATACGAAGCATTCGGACATACGAAGCATTCGGGCAAGTTTTACACAGTTAGTCTAGAAAAGACAAAATCAAATTTCAGTGCAGTATCTTGTCAGTCCTCATTAATGATATATATATATATATATATATATATATATATATATATATATATATATAATATATATAAAGAAAGTAAGATATGTAATCCGGCGTTCTTATTGATATTTTTATTTTTTACAAAATAGTGCTCAATATAAATTTACAGAGCATTAATTCGCTTGTGGATGAAATGGAATTAATGATTTTAACTTAATTACAAAATTAAATTTAAAGTTTTTAGCTTCCATTTTTGAAACATGGTTATTACTGTGTAGCGAAAAAATCATGTTTTAAAACAGTTAATTCATAATATATATATATGTGTGTGTGTGTTTGTGCTTGTGTGTGTCTGTGGGTGTGTGTGTTGATAATTATGCAGAGTGAAACCGCTTGGCACAGATTGACTTTGAACTCTATCGAGTATTCACGCTGTTATAATGTTCTCGGTCACTTCCATACTTTAAGTCAGTGCTTGAAAATAAAGTTTGCAGAGTGTACTCGTCTCAGCGCCCTGGAGAGGTTCTATGAGTGACCTGGTTTGTGCATCAGTTTTTGAGGAAAGTACAAATTTCCAGTGGTCCGGTAACCACCATATTCTCCAGATACCAAACCTTGCGACATGTTCCTCTTAAGAAATGAAATCCAACTTGAAAGGAACAAGATTTTAAGACGTTAAGGTAATCCAAGACATGCGACGAGGCAGCTGCTCGATATGCAAAAAAAAGAGTCCCAGGAAGGTTTTCATCGATGGAAATGAAACTGCATAAAGTGTGTGGCTTCAGAAGGGAACAACTTCAAAGAAGATTAAATGGCGAAGTGATCTGTGTTGTCATTTTTTATAGGACAATCCATAGATTTTTTATCAGAGAATGTTTAC